GCACAGATGTCAGGGCATCGGCACCAGCTGTTTGGTCCAGAGACCCACTCCTGTCAGTCCCCACTGCTTGCTAATATGTACCAAGCCTTAGTGGCCTAGATGGAAACTTGACATCAGAAAGGAAATTTTTATAAGCTCACAAGTGGTAGCAGAGAAGAGGGACAGAAATTATGGAAGAACAGACCACATCACCTGGATGATGATTTTTTTAATGTGAAATTGCAGACATCCTAGGGCCATTAGGCAATATTTACTGGAGTTTGGGAAGGGGCATGCTGCTATTTGCAGGTGGAAACAGTAAAGCTCTTTAAAATACTTCAGTATGCTCTTGAAATAGCATATTTATAGAGAAGCTGAAAAAAGGGACACTTTTTATTCATAAAAGAAAATACAGTGGGTGATGTGGAATACAGTGTGTACACACCCACATCTTTATAAAGAGTTTGATTCTTTTTGAGTTTTGACTCCCGAGGAACATATACATATACATGTAAAATATACATTTATACAGACATATTGTTTTTCTTTTTATGACTATTCATGTATTTTCCCTCTTTTTACCCAGGGACTCCAAGGACAATTTCTCTTTGTGAAGAAATCAGGCAGTACTGTGGAATTACATCAGATGTAGCCTTGCTTATTTTTTCCTATTACTGTCAACAAAACATACGCAAACTCTTTTGGGCTGTCAACTCTCATCTCTTACATCAAGGAAACTGAATCATGTACCTTGGCCTGAAAATTTTAAGAGCTTGTATAAATATATTTTGATATTGTCCTTGAGATTCCTGAAGATACAAAGAAGCAGGAACAGTACGTACTTTTTTTTCTTTTGCTGTTTGAAATGCCATGCCATCAGTGACCATTTGTACTTAGCTGAAATTACAGCACTGGATCCTATCAACACAATAAATAAATAAATAAACAGATGGTTGTGAGTGCAGTTGAACTAATTAAGCCAGGTTTCCTATCAAGTTATAACTTGTAGTTCTGTTTGTTCACATCTGATAAAATGAGAGCTCTGGTTTAGATTTTCCTGTCCTTGAAAAATGCTTTTCTCCTGTGTGGATTCTCAGTTGTGCACCAAGAGATAAGCAATCTTCCCCGTAGCAGTGACTCTAATTCAGGGATTTCTTCTTTAAAAGATCAACTAACTCAAGGAAATTTATTAAGAGTTTCTCTGTTGAATTTGACTGAGATTGGCCAAAGATTCAAAAATACTGGGGAGGAGAGAGAGGTAAAATTACGTTTGCAGACACAGAGACATAAAGGCAGAGGCAGCCTCATCTCCCCAGGGAATTGTGCTAAGCAGTATGTCTTTATTTCAAGAAAACAGAAAAGATCAGTGGGCTATTACCCATCTCATTTTAACTTCAATTGAATAATTTTTCAATAGGGGCACTGGAACAACTGTAAAGGCCAAAAGCAGCAGAGAATACTGACAAGTCTGACAGTGAGTGCTTCCCTTTGAGGTAAGATACAATTGTCTTTATTTTTATAGCAAAAAAATCAGAAGAATTCAACTAAACGTGACAAAACAGTGATTTCTGACTGTTCTGATATCCAGACAGGGCAAGGTGCTTGCAAGTCTGGTCAAAGGTATTTAAGCTTTCACAATGTTTGGTGACATATTAACAATATTTGACTTTACGCCTACAAGACAACTGCTGAAGTATGAACTGCTACTACCTCATTAAAGGTTTCTCTATCTGTTACAAGCAGTAGATTAATCTCTTGGGGGCGGGGGAGGGAGGAGCATTTCAGAAAGAACAGCATATCACAAAAGAAAATGGACAGAAGAATTACAGCTAAAGAAAATTATGAAAATTGTAAAATACAAATGCCTTCCATACAGAAATGAAACCATCAGTAGATTATGCTACACCTTGTCTGGAAACAGCATGCATCAATTACTTAATATGTAATAGCTCTCTGATTCATTGAACACAATCACTCAATCATGTGCTAACTTTTCTAATATGACATAAAAATGCTGTTCAAGTTCAAAATTTCCCAAAAGACCAGTAAACTGCCTGTCCTGGTTTTACAAAAGTAGTGTTGTAAGAAGGCTGGTGCCCTATGCAGGTATGTCAGTGTTGCAGCACTGGTGTGCTAAGCTCATTCCCATGCATCTGCCTGAGGTCAGGGGTGGAGGGAGGCAGGATGTTCACAAACTCTTGCCACTCCAAAGCTGCTGGCCTTCTTGAAACTACCTGGACTGGCCTTTCAATACTTCAAAGAGTCTACAAAAAAGAGGGAAAGTGGCTTTTTACTTGAGCAAACAATGATAGGACAAGTAGGTTTAGATTAAAAGAGATTTAGATTCGATGTTAGGAAGCAATTCTTTACTCAGAGGGTGGTGAGGCACTGGAACAGGGTACCCAGAGAGGCTGAGGATGCCCCATTCCTAGAAGTGTTCAAGGCCAGGTTAGATGCAGCCTGAACAACCTATTCTAGGGAAAGGTGTCCCTGCCCATCCCAGGACAGTTGGAATTTGATGATCCTAAAGATGCCTTCCAACCCAAACCACTCTATAATTCTGCAGTTCTATGATCTTGACATATTTCTTCTGTCACAATTGGCTGAAATTAAGCTCCCTGTTCAGGAGCTACTGGGTGGAGAATATGTCATGGTATGGCTTGTCAGAAGGACAACATACAGACAACCTGGGGGCATAAACTTTGTGTTCTTAGGAAATAAGGCTGAAAATACACTAAAAATATTTGGGGCTAACCATTTTATAACAGATGGTTGTCTGGACTTCTTTTTTACGACTTCAGATACAAAGTATCTTTTAAACTAGGAAAAATTCATATGCAGAACAGTACTTTTCTAACATTTATTTCAGTTTTTTAGAACATATGTCATATTTAGGCCAATTGAATTATGTCAGATCTAGGTAAATTTGATGCTTAGTTCCCCAGCTTGGAAAGCTGCTGTGTTCCAGCAAGTTTCTACATATATGCAATATCTTCCATGATTCCATATTTCTCTGCCTGGTTAAAATGGCGACAGGTAAAAAGCAAACAAGGAGTTTGGGATCAGACAGGTGACCTGATTTTCATAGTTGCTACATATCCAGGCACTGTAGATGGTAGTTTTATTAATTATTTTTGAAAAACAGTTCTCCTTGTCTAACTAAAGCCTGCAGCCTGAGACAGTCACTTCAGAAAATCTTTGAAAATACTCACTTAGCTTTTTGCATCCATAGTATTTTGTTTGAGCTCTGTGCTATGTTTGCCCTCCAATTCATACTTTTTAAAAATTCCTTTTCTGTTTTAATTGGCTTATAGGAAGACTTTGGCAGACTATACTGAAAAAAAAAAAAAGAAAACAAAAATTAAAGGTTTTCCAACACATTTATATTACCATTCCTGAACACTTGAAACACTATCAGCATATGGAGATTCATGTTTTCTTGTTCCACTTTAAAACACTGATTGTGTATCTTAAAACCATTACTTAGAGTGAAATTTTTAAAAATAATTTGAGTTTAGTGAAGTTTCCATAAAATTGAAGAGAATTCCACCCTTGGTTTAAAAATTTCAAATTACAAACATATGAAGAGATTATATATTTTGTTATTATTGTATTGTAACTGGGAAATCTGTAAAATACTGAAACTATATTCATTTTTCCATTCTAACAAATTTCTACCTTTGTCTCAGATTGTAGTTTGGTTTCATAAAAGTAGTTTCATCCCCAGGTTCTTAATGAAGAATTAGTTTAGAGCTGTAGTTGTTTTAAACTAAATTCTTCGAAGATAAATAGACAGACTAATTTACAATTGCTAATCTGTGCTAAGATTGAAAATTCTTGAGTTCTTGGTACCTGTTTTAGATACTTTTTTTGTTTTGAACAGCACTCTGTTCACTTTTTAAAGGCAAATAGTATAGTTTTTAAGAATTGTGTTTGATTCTGATTGGTATGGTTGAGGACAATTTCAGCTGTTGAGGAGCTTCTTCCATTGCACAGACACAGTGGTTTTCCATTACGGTTTCCTTAAGCCCTCACACAGAAAAACATGAGTTCTGTGCTCGTAAATTCTGGCAGGATGCTGTGCACAGGCCCTCCACAGGCCTTCAGGAAGATGAATGGTCAGAGCAGGTTGTCTCTGATGATCCTTCTTCCATTCAAGGCCAGAAACAGAAGCCAGATCCTTTTGTCATAACAGGCAAAGGAGAGTCTTGTGAGAGTCACCAATAAAAGTGATCTCAGATGGGGCACAGGGGCAATACCTCCCACACTGATAAATCCAATTCTGCCCCTCTACTCTGCTCTGGTGACACTCCACCTGCAGTGCTGAATCCATCTCTGGAGTCCCCAACACAGGATATTGATCTGCTGGAATGAGTCCAGATGAGGAACTCCAAGTTAATCAAAGGAATGGAGCACCTCCCCTTTGAAAAATGCTGAGAGAACTGGGATTGTTCAGCCTGGAAAAGAGAAGGCTTTGTTGTGACCTAACTGTGGCCTTCCAGTACCTGAAGGAAAGGAACTTAGAGGAAAGATGGGGGCAATACCATTTACGAGAGCATGGAGTGACAGGACAAGGGGAAATGGGTTTGGACCGAAAGAGAATAGGTTTAGATTAGATACTAATAAAACATTCTTTACTGTGAGGGTGGTGAGGCACTGGGACAGATTTCCCAGGGAAGCTGTGAATGCCCTGACCCTCGAAGTGTTTATGGCCAAGTTGGATGGGGCTTTGAGCAATCTGTTCTAGTGGAAGGTGTCCCTGCCCACAGCAGGAGGACCGGCACTAGGTGGCCTATAGGGTTCCCTTCCACCCCAAACCATTCTATGATTCGATGGTAAGTTCCTCCAGACTTTGGGCAATCCGTAATGGACTTTGGTGAAATCAGCTTTGGGGCCTTAGACAGCTTAAATTGCAATGAAGCTTTTGTGCCGGGACTGCCCGTCTTCCTGACAACTGGGCGGGGTTTCTCCGTGATCTTGCAGCTTCAGGTCTCCACCAACGCAGTGGAAACAATTTCTCCGTAGCGTAGAAGCAGCAAAAGGGTGAAAAATCGGTGAAATCGAGCGGCCACCAGACTGAGGACAGACACGCGAACAGGTACACTCGCTCTAGAACAGCGTATTTCGAGCCCTGTCCGCTGCAGGCGCAGCCCCCTCCGGGATTCCCGGCGCTGCGGGAATCCCTCCTCCAGCGGGCAGCGCGCGTCACCCGGGCGGCCCGGCCGAGGCCCGGCCCCCTCGATCCGGGTATCACCGCCCCCTGTGCCGCGGCGGGAGAGCTGCGGGCTCCTGGGCCGGACGTGCTGCTGCTCCCGGCTCGGCCCGGCTCGGCCCGGCCGTACGTACGTACCGGGGGAGGCGCTGGGCTCGGGGCTGGCGCTGCCGGGGCTGGGCGGCTGCGGGGCGGGCGGGAGGTGAGCGCGGGGCTCCGGCAGCCCCTCGGCACCGGGGGGCTGGCGGGACGCCCCTCCGGGCGGCGCTCCGACCTGACAGCTGGGTTTCCGCCTCTCTGCAGTGTCGGAAAATCCGATTATATGAGTTTCTCGCATTAAAACAAACAAATCCCAGGATGCCGGGAGGGTTAAGAGTGAAGGCTCCGGTCCTGCCCACGTACCAGCGCCCCTCACACCCCCAAACCCACTTGTCTTGTTTTTGCTGTCTTGTGTTGCAGAACCTACAAAAAGTGTAACTTTGTGTCAGCAGTTCTTCCTGCCTTACGCTTTCGTGATTTCATAGCAGAGCAAGTCGCTTGCGTAGAGCAGGGGAAAACACCTTAAACTATTATTGTTATCTCACAATTCTAGGAGCGTGCAGAAATGTCTCCCTTCGAAAATAAAGGACTAATACTGGGCATAATGGCAGGAACTGCTGGATTAAGCCTGGTGCTGGTTTGGTACCGCAAGATCCGAAAGCCTGGTGCAGCTGTGCGTATACATGCGTTCCAGGATATAGGTAACACCATTAATTCTGTAGGCTTGCAAAATGAGGCTCCCAATGAGCAAGGAGCAGTAATGGTTTTACATGGAAGGCAACTGCAGATACTAGAAAAATTGAATGGCCTGCTGCTAAGCGTGGACGAACTGAAGAGAGAGGTGGAATTTCTGAAAGAAGCTATTCCAAAACTTGAAGAGCTTGTTCGAAATGAGCTTCAAGGAAAGGGTGATGTTCAGAGAGTTAGCCCATCACACAGAGCAACAAGGCGAAGAAAAGCAGAGACGGCTTCTGGTACAAGAGAAACTACCAGCTCTGAGGAGGCGGAAAGTGAAGGAGGGTGAGTTAATAATAATTTGTATATTCTACTGTACGCATGCAGTGCAAGTTGCATCATTATCTATATGAAACTGTAAACAGGAGCCCTTTAAAGATTTAATCTAAATTTTATATTTTTGGGAAAAAAATACAAACGTTCAGATTAGCAGTTTTTAGATCAGAGAAACTCTTGGTGACCATCTCTGAATCTGCACTATAGCTGAAGTTGGCTTAATGCCAAGCATAATACAGATTTATTTTTTTTTTAAGAGTGTTTGGTAATGCTGATGCAGTATTGCTACATAGCTATGCAATGAGAGGCAAAGTTCAGAATAATGGTGTAATTTTAAAAGTGCTTCTAGTGCAAAGTGTGTCTTTGACAGAGTTTGTTCAAAGTATATGAATGTTCATGTGCTTTTTCTGATAATTGTTTTTAATCAGCCTCACAGATAAGTTATTACAGTGTTCCGCCCAGAGGCATTGCATACTATGGCAGCTGTGTCTGAGCAGAACCTCTGTACAAGTGGCAATGTTTAGTATATGTGCTGTTGTATACACTTTCTGGTGGTTCAAAAGGTGACCATGAGGAATTTAAGGTACTGACTCAGTAAGGTAGAAAGTTCCTAGTTTTGACTACATCTTGTAGTCACGTCGTAGTTAATGGGATCTTTTATTCTCATGAGTTGAGGAAAACACTGGAGGATGATGTACCAGGGGTCCAGGAGAGGCACTGTATTTTTGTCTTGACATTAATCTCCTGTAATTACAACTTTGTTTTGGTATAATCAGATTAGATACTTACATGCAATTTACTAATACTATGTTTATAGCAACTGAGTTTTTTGAGCCGCTTCTCAGTGTCTTACACGTCTGTGTAGGCAGCATTATGTCTGTAAATTGCCCATCTTATGTCACATTTTCTCTTTAGAAGTATATTAACTAGCTGTAATATTCTGAAGACAGCTAACGTGCTGCATATTAATGGAATTCTATATTTAAGAGTTTCTCCACATCTATTTTCAGTTTCTGTGAGCAGAATTTCTTTTTGTGTTACATCCCAGCCCACATGGTTCACAAGTCTTATATTTTGATACCATATTTTAAGGCCTATCAGTTCTATTATGAACCAATTCTTTATTTTAAGTATTCAGGATTGGCACAAGTGTTCAACGACATTCCTCCTTCATCTGGTGAGGAAACTTCTTGGTTCTCTTAGTTTCTTAGATTATTTCATGCGTTGGTTGGTTTGCAGAGGCCTTCATGTTATGAATGAAATATTCAGAGATACAGATAAGACAAAGGGACCAGTTTATGAATTACCAGGTCCACAGATGCAATGCAGGGGTTATTCCACACATAGCATTTGAGAAAATCTTGTTTTCTGACCAGGAATGGTGTGTTGCTCTTTGAGAACACACTAAGGAAACTTGTGTGTTTAGGTTCTTCTGTGTGACGAAGAAGCTGATGTAGTGATCCAATACGAGTGATTATAGTGTGCAAAAGCATTGAGTGTGTCCTTAAGAGAGGCCTTCTCTGTCAAGTATTTGTGTACAGTCAGAAGAAAAGAAGATAATTCAAGGTTATAGTTAGCATTAGTCATTTGGCTATGTTCTTTCCCAATGCTGTTTTTCAATCCCTTTTGAAAAAAGGTGTGCTTTTTTCCTGTTAACACCTTGTACTTGATGTCCTTTTTTTCATACCTTCTCTAAATTTGAGATAATTTGATTTCATTTAAGTAAATAGTATTTTTTCTTCCCCTTGCAAATAGGTTGTGTACAGTTGCAATATATATAGCTTCTTCTGAGGTTTTCTGTAACTTTAATGGCTGTGGTTCATGGCCAGGAGGGTCAATAGCAACACTTGGGTTTTTTCCAGTTACTGTACATCACCACTTCATATGCTGTAGGCATTACACCGTGTGCACTGTTTTATAGTCTTCCGTGAGTTCCACACACAATGGTGCATTCAGGTGCTTGTTTGTGCACTAGAGAAAAAAAATTGCTCTTTGTTACTGATAAACATTTTTTCACCTTTATGTACTCCCATCTAAAGTACGTGCAATGTATTTCACTGCCTCAGCAGTAATTTAACGATGCAGAAGATAGGATTTTGCTTAAGTACTTCCGGTTTTAATTGACAAATGGGTAGATGCTAGGAATTGACAGATAAGCTAATCTGAAGAGTTTTATGGATCTGTGCTCTATGACTACATTGGTTTCAGGTTTGTAAATTTCTTCCAGAAAAGCTTTTAATACTACCGAGGTTTTTCATTAAATATTGGAAGCTAACACTCTCTGAGAAGGCCCTCACAGTTTTGATCTGCTCTGGGCATATTCTCAATGTCACTGTTGGTACTCAACACCTTGGGAAAAGAAGCTTTCTGTTTTGCCTTTCAAAAATTATGTATTTCTGTAAGTGGAGAAATATCACATGTGTTTTAATAAATGAGCTATAGTTTTACATAATGACAGTCTGAATGGAAGGTGCGCTGAATGGATGAGACATTAAATGGTAATGAGTCTGTGGTTTCTAGTCTGTGCTTTTTTGTATTCTATTTTTTCTTTTAAGTTTGCTTCAGTTCCGGTAATGTCCTAGTGAAAACTTCAATGTTTAACATTTGAGAATGTGTAACAAGCACTCATTCACTTACAAATAAAATAAATTGTGTCTAGATGATCACCTGGAATGGAGCATGTCACCGAATTCTCCTCTTTGTGATTTTCAAGCTGTTTCCACCCTGATGTGGCAGTGATGAACCCTGGACATCAGTGTCATGTTTGGCACCCATCTTCAGCTGGCCCAGCATTCAAGCTCTTCAAATTGCATTTGGCATCAGAAAGATTCACTGCAGTAAATTCTTTTCTGACAGATGTTCTATTTATAATTTTTCCTTGAAATAGTTGAGTCAACAGGAAAAAAATTTCCCTTGCCTACTTCTGAGTATCACTTACACTTAGCATTTTCTAATTTATTTTGCTGTTCATTTCTTTTAAATGCAACCTTCAGTTGGCTTAAGAATTCAGTTTGCCAAACTTTCCCTTGAAAACCACTTATCATTACTGATGAATATGCTGGATCATACAGTGCAAATTTGATCCAGATCAATCTGTGACATACAATCGCCTTTCTGTGGAATTAGCCAGAGCAGATGAGAGGGTGTTTGTGTCAGCTTGTGGTTTTTTTCTAAGTTGGCAGAGAGACAACAGATTATCATTTGATCTGTCTAAAAGCTGAAGCGTTGTGGACAAATGATACCTGGTTAGGCCTAGTGTCTGCCAATTTACAGACACCCCAACACAGTTGGTTTTTGAACCACCCAAATGTGTTTATGCTACAGGAATGTTTTATGTCATGTAGCTTAGGGTTTGTTTTAATCTGGTACTAGGTGCTGGGATTTACTGAACTGCTTAGCCACGGTGGGGTGAGTCTTTAGCACAGTTGCCATTTGTTCTTTGAACTTTGAACAGTCCACTGTGATACAACTGTGTCCTGTTGGCTGATCGTTGCTCCTCACATTGTTATCACTGTTTTTCTCGTTTATTTAAAATCTATTGGTAATAAAGGTGAAAACAAGTTGGCACTGACTCTAGACATTTTTTAAACGTTTTTCCATTTTCTCAAATATTGATCAATGTGTTTATGACTTGTAAATACTCACGTTTCTGTTTATCATCTGGTAAAACCTCTTGCAAGGAAAACACCAGGTAAAATTGCAGATTTCTCTTGTATGGAATATTTGTAAAACAAGCCGTAAATGGTTGTTCCTTGTTGTCTTTTTATTTCTTTTTTGGAGTAGTGTTATCAGTCCTTAAAGTCCTGGAGTTTTTAAACTGTGTTGAGAAGAATCTTCACTTCTGTTTGTGTCAATACTGATTTTAGTGCTTTAGAATGCATAGATGTATAAGACTGGTAGCTGCTTTGTTGAAGGCAGATACTGCTCAACAAATAAATTGAAATTTATGATGTTCTATTCAACGTTTCGGAGTATCTGTTGCATATTTAAATGCTTTGAGGGTTCATAAAGCAGGTAAATGGAGGAGGTAGGAGAGAATTTGCCAGGACAGTGGAGATGAGAGAGAATGGGTAAGAAACGACCCTGCCCTCTCTGCTGTTTTGTAATTAGCTCCTAATGGCTTCACATGGTCTGTTAGATAGTGACCTACTTCACACCTTTTCTATGAGTCTCCCAAAAATATATGCCTTACCTGATGTCATGTGAATTTGATGTTTGGCCTCAATTTGATGTTTTGTCATGACATTTGATATAGTGCTGCTAGAAATCTCTGCTGGGCTTGTTTGGACTGACAGCCCAACGGGCTTGCGTGTAAACCCAACCTTGCTTTTGTCATCCAACCATTATATTTTTTGCTGGGAGAATAGCATTTTCTAATAAACATTTTTGGCTGTTATCTAAGACTGGAACAGTAGTGATCATAGAAATTTTAGCAGATGTTTATGCAGCAAAGATAAAGAATACTGTCAAAAGTATCAACACTGTCTTCCAAACACTGTTTCCTCACTTTCATGTCTACATGATTAGGTAGCATTTGATAGAGTGCCCAAATTTCTGTAACTGATGGTATTGTCTTTATTGCTTAGTTGTTGCTCTTTTATATTATCTAGTGCCCTTATTTTAGATTGGGAATTGCCCAGATCCTCAGCACATTTATATTTTAACTGGGGGTAATGGAGCCTTTAAACCATGTGAGGAAAGATACTTTCCAGACATACTTCATATCATAGAGTTTTGTATTGGAGCTAAAAGATTGTCCTACTCCCCAGGAATTCCCTTGTACATTTGATTAAGTTGGGGCTCTTACAAATACAGCCATGATATATTTCTGTGCCTGCTTCAAAATAACTATGAAAGAACAATATGCTATGTTTTTAAATGTTTTAGAAAAGGAAAATAAGTGTTCAGTGACAGAATATAGTCTCTGCAAGATACAGCAAAGGATATGTCATCAACTTCAGCATCATCAAGATTATATGAAACAGATCTGTAGAAACATTTGAAGTTTTCCATCTCTGTTCTGTTGCGTGATATTTTTCAATTTGAACATGTACACATGGTCTGTGTATGTATTGTTTTATCCAAATGTATTTTTGACTCCTCTTTCCTGTGTCACTGGGTTAATTTTGCAGCAAAACTGTCGTGCCACATCTAGCACTTCTGTAGCTTCATAAGCAGTTGTACTTGTTCATTTACAGGCTGTAAGTGTATCTGCTCTGATACATTGATTTGTTCTGAAATCAACATATTGAAAACAGAATATTTGAAAGCCATGATTATTAACCTTCATTTTGACTGCTAGCATTCTGTCCTGGTTATATTTCTGAAAAAAAGAAGTAAATTTTATATATTCTGACTGTTGTGGCCTACTTTGAATATTCAGTTATTAATGTATATAGTACCATTCCATGCTTTTTGTACTCATAGTAACCATTTAGGCAGCTCATAGGTTTACATTATTACTTCTCCCCAGAAGAGTATTTTCAAAAGTGGAAATGCAGGAGATGGGGCTTCTCTGTCCATTTTCAGTGTATAGGCAAAAGGCTACTTTTTAAAAACAATGCCATCAAGTGCTCCTCTTTGAAATTGAAGTACCCTAATGTATTCTCAGCACTTTGGACAGTAAGGCCACCTGCTTATCTCTGCATGATATTTATACTTTTGCAAATATTTCTTTGCCCTTGACCGCCTTGTGCTGAGTACTTGTGCACTAAGCATCATGAATTAATATAATCTCTTTTCTAGTTTCAGATACTCTGAATTTCAGAATGCTTGGAAGAAATAAGGAATTTATAACAATGGTGTTATTTTTATTGGCTTGTATTTAGATCTTGAGAGTGTTTAAGAAAATATTGTATAAATTATTGTTATAGCACTTACATTTTGGTTAGTAAGCTCATTCCTTTTTCAAAAAATAGGGAAATTGAGGTAAAGAGTTGAAGAGGCCTATTCAGGGTTACAGAGCATGTCTTAAAACTCAATGATTTCAAGTATTCTGCATTTGAAACACAAGGCTACATGTGTTTCTAATATGTATTTGCCTTTTTTAATGGAGTATTGGGCAGCAGGACAGTATAATTACTTACCTGTTTTGTTTGGAATATGACTATGCTGTCCCTTTGAAGATAAAGGTTTTGTAATAATAACAATAAACTTGATATCATTAATAAAAAATCCTTTAAACTTGGACAACTGAGATAAATTGTGCTCTGAATTTTTTGCTTTTTAATTAAACAACACTTTTTTTTTTTAAGAAAAAATGATTATTGTTCTCTGTGATTTTAGTTACCTTACCGCTCATACTGATTCTGAAGGAGACTCCGAGGAAGAAAAGAGATGTATGAAATCACCTGATGCCATAGTGAAATCAGAAGAAGATGAAGACTTACTTAATTTTTTACAGCAGGTGGACAATTTGCATAAGGGTTCAGAGGAGGATAAAAAAGAGGGCTTCAGACTGCTACTTGAGAAGAATGAAAAGGTATTGTGGGTAAACTTATTATAATGTTGCTATTAACTTATACTTTACACTGCTGTTGAGAAATAAATACAAGCTTTAAAATGTGCATAGAAATGGTGATGAAATTTCAAGCATATTTTTAAAATGCAGTCAAAAAGCAGTATATCAAAGTTGTGTCAATATTCACATTGTGTGGGCATAGGAGTTCTGCTATTACAGATCCCATTCTAATTCAATAACTTTGAGGCTTTGTTTGACATAGGAATTCTTGCATAAAACAAAGAAAAATAATGGGCTTTTTCCGATGTAAATGATACTTACTTCTGCTGGTTTTGGAATAGTCTATGTGAGAAAATAATGTAGAATTAAGTAGTAACCAGACCTACTGTTCTCAAACTAGAAGCATCTAGTGTGCTCATACCTTTCTAATATCCTTCATATGAATTTTTCCTTTGACTTTACTGAGCCCATATGTAACTCCAGATAAAATTTAAAGGTGGTTTGATGTGCCGTGCTCAGTTCAGTGTACCATTTTATTCTGGTTTGGCAAGAATTAGTTCTGATTGTATTTTCATCAAATACTGGAACACCAAGGAAGGTAAATGAGATATTGTGAGTGTGGTGCTTATGGCTTCCCTAAAGAAAATACACATAACTTTGTTCAGGGATTTTTTGTGCTTTACTGGATTACCTTGTAAATGTTTATATTAAAAGCAGTTCAAACTGGTTTATAAAAGAAAACCTCTTTTGACAGTCTAGGGTTTTTCCAAAAGCTGTATTCGTTTTTGTTCATGGAAAATTGGTCAACTGGTTCTCACATGAACTAAAAGTAGCATGTAGAAGGAAAGAAAATTAACAAAAAAATATGCCATCTTCTGATTACTTGCTTTCAGCATGTTATTAATTTTAAGCATTGTGTTTAAATCACATTCTGATCAGTTTAGTTAATGTAGCTGTCTTCTGCTTTCAGTACGAAAACCGTGTGGACTTTCTTTGGAGGCTTGCACGTGCTTATGGAGATCTGTTTGAGATGACTACTGATGCTGAGGAGAAGAGGAAATATGTAACTGATGGTAAGAGGAAAAATGTTTATGAAGAATGCTGAATGAATGTAGTGAAACATGCTTTGAACTTTGGTTAAGTTTTCCAAGCTAAGAAATTTGCAATCCAATAAATGGGAGCATTTGTACTGTAATAATAATGTTTTGTGTAATAAGCCACCACAGTTTACAACTTCAGTTCATGATTTCCTCAGTGAGAGATCTAAAATCAGTGGCAGAGAAGTATTATGGGTCATAATTGGAGGATGTTGTCTCTGCAGATTGCCTTAAAATCGTTTATTTTGTTGAGAAACAGATGGCTAGAGAATGTGAAAACTGCCAGATGCTGTCAGCACAGTTTCTNTTTGGAGAGAAAGAGGAATAAATAAATGCTAAGGCTGGGTCGAGGTTTGTTTTTCTGCTTTCCTGTGGTCCGGGAGCACTCCTGCATATCAGCAGCCTTTTTGTGGTGATGGTGGGGATGAAACTTTGTGAATCTGGAGGAACTGTTGACCAGAATCAGAAGTGGTGTGTGACAACTGATGTTGCTTCCAGACATTTCTCCCCATGTGTCTTGTTTGACAATTCAATCTCCACAAGATTTTAATTTTCTTTGTCATAGCACTTTTTTTGGGTTGCTTTTAAAAGCATTGCCCTTTCTTTTACTGTATAGATGGATATTGGCTAGAGAAACAGTTTGTTTCCCTTTTTATTTTGGACCTTCTTTTTATTACATTAAATCCCACATTTCCTCTACACTGTGTCATTCTCCTCCAGTCAAGGCGCTGTTCTTAAAATAATCCTTTTTGCATTTATCTCATTTATCTTCTCTCTTTCTTTTGTCTCTCCATTGGCTTTTCCTTTTTTGCTGCACCAAATGAGGTATTGTAAGTATAACCCAAGTTCGGGTTATTTTGTCTTTTGTGACACCTCTCATTGACTTTTTGTTCTGTTGGCAGTGACAATGTCACTGACAAAGCAGTTTCAGCTGTCCTTTGTCATCCTTAAAGGCAGTGTCATGCCTTCATGCTGTTCTAAAAGCAACCTCAGTTTGTTCAAGATCCTTCCTTTTTCCAATCCTTTTGTCGTCTAAATGCTCCTGAAGACTTGCACTGTCTTAGCAACTTAACTGATACTGTTTTTGCTTTAGTAGCAACTTGTCTTTGTACATAAATCCTACAGTGCAGTGAGGATTATGGCACAAAGTAAATGAAAACAGTAAATTCTGTTGTTGGATCCTTTACTTTTACCAGTGACTGGACTTGAAGCTGGCCAGGACTGTGGGGGACAATAAAAAGAGTTTTTTTCAAATGTATTAACGGCAATAGGCAGTGTAAAAATAACATCAGCCCCTTACAGGATGAGGGTGGTTGCCTCACAAACGGGGACATAGATGTGGACAAGACAGAGATGTTTAATGTATTCTTTGCCTCTGTCCTCAACATGGATGATGGAGCAAGGGGTTATCAGTGCCCTGAGCTGGAGGACCGTGGCTACAAGAATGATCAATTCCCAGTCAACCTGGAAATCGTGTAGAATCTCCTGCTCCAGCTGGATTCCTAAAAATCTATGGGATTCACCCAACAATCATCAAAGAACTAGTTGTTCTCATCTCAAAACTTCTCCTGATGATTTTTGAGCAGTCTTAGGAACCTGGAGAGGTCTAGGTGTCTGGACACTGGCTGACATTGTCCTGATTTTCAAAAAGGACAAGAAGGAGGACCCTGGCAACTGGAGGTCTGGAACAGGCTCCCCAGGGAAGTGGTCACAGCACCAGCCTGACAGAGTTCAAGAAGCATCCACACAATGCTATCAGGCACATGGTGTGACTCTTTGGGGTGGTCCTGTGCAGGCCAGGAGTTAGATTTAATGATCCTTGTAGGTCCTTTCCAACTTAGCATATTCTGTGATTCTGTGGCTGCCTGTAACCTCAGCTGATGAACGATAATGGCATAGCAAAAGACAGGGAGAGATAAAGAATGATGGAATGAAAGTGGGTCTTAGGTGTTGAGTAACCAGCCTAGTTTGGCTCATTCTCATGAAGCGGGGGTGGCAGCAGCCTTTTTCATCTCAGTTTTTGGAAGTGCTGCAGAGGGCTTGAGACTGCAGGAGAGCTGGCAGTAGTTTCATGGTTATTTTTCATTCCACTGGGTTGGAGGACTGTGTATGCTATTCTTTGTTTCTATGAAGTTAACTTACAATACAGAAATGTCAGTGCAACTTAATTGGTTGCAGCTGAGACTCTGCAAACAGCAAGCATCTCATCTGAACTTCTTACTGGGAGTGTGGGTTTGATCAAATCGCCTACTGTCATCTTTATTCGGTTAAAAGTGGAACTTAAGGGAAGGCTTTGTACTAGAAAGGAACTTCAACTAGTTTATTCCTGTACTCAAGGCAGGAAACAGCTTTGCTGGTTCTTCTGACAGGTGCTTGTCTGACCTGCTTTTAGGGCTCTTCAGTCTTACAGACATGACAGCCTCATTTGGCAGTCCAGTCCAATCCTATCCTGATTTAACTGCATCTGAATTGGATTTTAAAGGAAAATACTAAAATTGCATATGCAGTTTAATATACTTATATGTAAGTGTATGACTATGTAAACGAAGTAAAGCCAGGATGTTACATTGTTTATCTGAATGTTTCTATGAACAGAGAGCAATTTCTTTGCTGCTACAGTAAATCAGATTGCTTTGTTCTTGGGAGTAACCTAGAACCTGGAAAAGTACGATAAATCCTTTCATATATATCCATTTACAGGAAAGCTTAAAGCTGAAAAGGCTGTTCAGCTGGATGCTGGAAGTGCTGAGAGTCACCAGTGGTAAGTTCAAAAAAGTTTTTACAAACTTGTGTGCATTTATTAAGTTAAAAAAAGAAAAAAACCCAGTGTGACATCAGTTTCATGAATTAGTCATTAATATTTTTTCATAGTTTTATGAAACTCAAGTATCACTAGTTGCTGGTAAAAATGACATTGAAATATTCTGTGAAGCATTTACTATAGCATGTGAAACAACTCAGTAAACATACTTCAGTAAGTATCAAGAAATGTAAGTAAGAGTATTTGCTTAAGCCACTATTTTGTTGTTCAGAGAAACCATAGTTTTCCATTTATCTTCCCTTTCAACAGTTCAAGAAGTAAAAAGTCATTTCATCTTGAATTTTGTCCTTTCCTTTTCTTGTAATAGTCTAAATTGTAATAATTAAAAATAGACATAGAGGACTATGGAAATTTGAATTAACTTCTTAATTTTTGTTTTATTTTTGTTTAGTTTTTCTCCAAGCGCGACACCTAGTTTAGTTTTGTAGGCCTTGCCAGAACTAACAAACTCTGCAAATGTAAATATTTTTTTATCATATCAAGGTAAAAGGTAAAAGATAATTTTATCAAAGGTAAAAGATAATTCTACTGAGTTCTAGCTGATAGTTCCTCACCGTAGTATTTTATTAGTAAATTTTACTGAGCTCCTGATTTCTTTTCTAATATTAGCTTTTCCTTTCCATTTTGGTTTCTACATTCTTCATTAATTTTGTCTTTGCACTTGTGGGATGGGATTTCAGTAAACTTCTGCATATCTGAAACAAATACTTTTACCCCAGGCTCCTTTCACGATCTAAAAAGCAGCCACTTCTGGGGTGCAGTTCACTGGAGTCAATTTTTCCCATTTAGTCTTGCATGAGGGTGAGATGAGTTTCTCCTGGGGCTCAGTTGACAACATCTCCATTGCCAACAAAGGGAGCACATGTCAGCTATCTCAAGTTTAGATACTTGATTAGACACAGACATTGTCATTTAATTAGGTAATTCACTGTCTTGCTTTCTCTCTTTCTCAAAGCAGTTTCTGCTCTTTGCTTGACCACAGTCATGGCCACTTCCTCAGGGTAATGCTGGTGTACCCCTTTCAGCTAGAACTTTGTGTATAAACAAACAAAAAATCACATTCAAGTATGAATCCTGCCCCTCCCTTCCTCCTCAGCCACAAGACTGACAAAATATCCTAGTATAAATACAGCTTCACTAGCAGAAACTATGCTGATAAACCCATATATATTGTTCAGGGAGATGTAGGTGGTCTGCTGGACATCACATGTGAGATGCTGTCCTGGCATGCACATCTAGCAGGGGAAGAGTTATGAGTGTAAGGAGATGTGTTCCAGAGGTTAGCTCAGAAAGCTAAATTGAGGGGTTTAAGAGGAAACTCTTAGATTTTTTTAAGCTACTGCTTTTTGTAACAGGCAATAGATTTCTGTATAGTTTGCAGTTTTCATCCTTCATGTATCTGGCTTGCAAGTGAACATGAGGTTTATATCAGTTATTGTTCAACTGGTGTCTTTCTAGAGGTATAGATGGACATTATAGATTAAAATGGTTCACTATAATTATTTTTCTGAATATACTATCTACTTGTATTTATTTTCTGACATCTTTCTGACTTGCTGCATGATTTTTAAAGTGTGGTGTAAGTGTAATAGTTGTGCCAATCTAGCCGAGGCTCTAAATACTGGGCAGAATGGACTCCCGTGAGGGACATTGGTAATTTTTGTTGAGCATAACAATAGCTGTTCAGTCTGTGGTCCCAGTAGATGTTTTTCTGCTGTGCTGCTACTTAACCAGTTGGACTTGCTTTGTAACTTTTTTAAAACTTGTTTTATTCTATTTTATTCTTTATAAAGTATTTTACACACATTTAATTGATTTTGTGTTTTTCCAACCATTTCTCATGTTTGAAGCCATTTAGGTTTGTAAATGCATCCCCTCACAGATGAACATGTTATTTCAAATTTTTTTTTTTCTGGGTTTTTTTAAAATCATGGGCTTAATTGATGAAATTACTGGAAGATAATGGATCCAGCACTAAACTTTGTGTGACACCCATAGTGGTGCTCAGGTTCACATGGAGCCTGGTTCTGCTACCATCTCTATAGGTGATTTAATCCGAACAATATTTCCACTGTTAGATTTCTGAGGAACATCAGGTAGGGCAAAGTCAAAAGACACATAAACAAGGTATATTTATTTGCTGCATTTCTCTTACCCAGGCTTTTTTATCTTGCCAGAATTCTTTTTTTTATACTCTCTTTTCACAAAAAACTAGTGTTAACTGTTTTGTATGCCTATGCACTTCCAGAATAATTTATCCTGGACTGTTTTCAGGTTAGCTGGTTTGCCTTTAACACTTCTCCTTCTCCCTGATAGCAGCTATGTTTGCCTTTTTGCTTGCTGTTGGGGATTTCTGCATTACCCAAAAGACTTCTGTAGTCCACTGTCAGATCTATATTGTTTGAGTCTGGCATAATGCAGTTTTCCAGTTTATTTAAACATTATTTCAAATATTAACCCTCTTGAACAGGAAATAAGACTTCAGAGAATTGTCCCTGTAAAAACAGTACTCTCAAAGTTGTACACAAGTAGTATTTTACCTGAGGTTATAAATAGACAAGACTGTGTATAAACAGATAACGGTGCAATACAATTAAATCGAATAAATAACATGTGAAAGTAATATGAAATCCATAGATAATAGGAATATTTATATGAGAGAGAACAACTGAAAAGAAAAAATTGGAACCAAATATTTATACAAAAAGATGCTGGGATCATTACTGGGTTGTCAAGATCACAGCTGAAGGGCAGCACCAGCTCCAGATGGACACCTGGAAGTTCTGTCTCTGTCAGATGTGTCTGCAGGTGGGCAAGGGCCTGGTCCTGCACTTACGGAGGATGCAGAGTTGCAAGGCAGCATGTGCCATTTGATGTTTGCATGGCATGACAGATATCACACAGGACCTTTGCAGACTCTGCATTTCCAGGCCATCATCCAGAAGTGGTGAAAAACCCTAGGGCATCTACAGTGGCATTAGACCTGTGTCCAGGCAGGGATCCTGTGAATTAACAGAGTCTCTGCTGGCTGTAATTGGAGATTAGATACACAACTAAGAAGCTCAGCATGAGTGCAAGCTCAGTGTGAAAGCAATGCTGTCTCAGACCAAAATCCTTCCTTTTCATCTCACTGCCAACATAAATTTTTTAAAGCTGTACAAGGTAAATAATCTTAGACTATGTAAGATGAGCCCATCTGTTTGTTGCACGTAGGGCTATGTTAGTCTGTATCAGGTATTGATGACCAAGCTGGTTTTCTGACCTTGACTGAAGAAAGTTTTTGTTGATTTCTTACAAGTTTCTGAGGGGTTTTGATATTTCCAATCAGCACAAATGAGGTTTTCACTCATGTTTGGTATAGCTGCTATCTGTGTTGACCACTCATGCATTATTTCTAGTGTTCTTTAAACTGTTTAATATATTATGGCTTACTAAATGAGTGAGGATTAAATGATAGCCTATTCTTTTCCTGGTCTTTTACCTTGCTCTCTACTTACAGTTAACCCTAGCTTAAACGTGTACTCTTCTTTTGGGTTTTAAGTTAATTGAGAATTCCTCACTGGAGCTGAATTGATCTTTAAAAATTATTCCCAGCTATGACTAAGGGGTCATTGACAGTTGTGCTGTTGAATATTGTCTCTTACTGAATCTTCTATGGAACTTTTTCTAACATGACATTTCTTAATGATTTCATAAAAAATGGAAAAATTTTTTAATTAAAAACGTGCCTGTTATGCAGTGGTTAGGTCTGTGGACCTGTTGGGAAGTTTATTTTGGAAGCCTATCCCTGCTGCTTGAAAGCTTCATTTACCAAATGAACAAGTTCTTGTGACACCTTGACTCATATAGTTGTCGTAGTGTAGTCAGAGTTATATAAGCATAAAATATCCCTTTCCCAGAGCAGGCATTTTTCTATTTTGTGAAACTGCTGTAAGGTGTCTGTGAGGTGTCACATTTTTTGTGTTCACCAATGGAATTTAGTGGAATGGTTCCATGAGCAAACTTGCTAATATAGGCTTAGAGTTCAGCTGTCTTGCCTTCCTTTTGATATTTACTTCAGTTAAGAACAAAAAAATGTCATTTATCTTCTTAGTGTATCACGTATATTTTTCCATAAAATTGTATGATAATGTACATCAACCTCCAACTGTTCAACTTACTGATTAGAATACTAACAAGTAACCAGTGTTCAGCTTCAAATTAAATTTGAGGAAACATATGCAGAACAAAGAAAGCAAAATATATTGAAGTAGTCAGCTGGTTTTGGTACTGATTTGCAGCTGCAAATAATTTTCATATCTGAATCCAGGTTTTTGAGAACACGTGATCATGCTTAATCTCATAGTTGCCAATGAGATCAAAAACCTTCAGACTTTTTGAATGTTGACCTCTAAATAACTGAAGTAAATGGCAACGCTGGAAAGGAAAAGCATAGCAGTATTATTTGTATGAACACCCTAACGAAAGAGTAAATATTCCAAGTGATTTGTGGGTTTGTTCAGCCAGTGTCAGTTTTTCAAGTTGTGGAGGAACTCACATGCAAAAGTTACCATCAGCCATTGCAGGTCCTTTTGGTTTTTTCCAAGCCTCAAACAAATTCATTTTGTGGGTCAGTGATTCCCAAAGGACATCTGTGAATTCTCACAGCTCATCTTAGATCATGGAGCATCTTTATCACCCAGATTGTAATTAGAAGTGCTATATGAACAGTTTGGTGGTACAGTTGCTTTGTGGTTATGCTGCTTTACAACTTTACAGTTACAGAAAACAAAATGTAGATGCATATGAACAGTGCTTTTATTTAAAACTAAACAATCACTTTTATATTCTTTTTCAAAACCAGTGAATTTTTATATTTGTGGGAGGTTTGTTGCTGGTTTTCTTTAAGAGTTTGGGGAAGAAGTCTGGAAGATTTCTCTGCTGTTGTGCAGATCCCAATA